TGGCCCGGCGAGGGCCCCTAGGGCCCGATTTTTGCCAAACACGTCCTTGACTTTTTCACCACGCTGGATCTCTGGGTGCTCTCGCTCTTTCTCGCAAGCCCAGGCGGCCCAGGGAAGCTGTCGGGCCAGGGAGGAGATGGCCCAGGGCAGCCGCCTCGGCTTTCTCTCCCCATCTCAGGAGGGAAACACAGGCACAATCAATCGTCGATTCCCCCGAACATATGGGAAGATCTGGGAAGTGGTGAGGAAGACGACAACCCATACAAATATGGAAACTATTGGGAATCCTGTCATTTCTGTGTATTTCTTCGTGTGCCCCTGGGCCCCCGGAAATATGGGAAGATATGGGAAGTGGTGAGGAAGACGAAAACCTTTTAAGAAATATGGAAACTATTGGGAATCCTTTTTTTTTTTTTTTTTGTGTGTGTGTGTGTGTGTGTGTGTGTGTGTGGGTATTTCTTCGCGTGCCCCTGGGCCCCTTCAACTGCCGGGCGGGCCCCCGACGCGCCCGGCCCGGCCCGGGGACCTCGCCGGGGCCGCCCGTGGACTTCTGCTCGGCGGCGGCACCTCCGAGGCGAGGACAGGGCGACGAGGAGGAGGAGGAGGAGGAGGAGGAGAAGGAGGAGGAGGAGGAGGAGGAGGAGGAGGAGGAGGAGGGTGCTGAGGGTGCTGACTAAATCGAACGGGTCGGGACCCGAACGCTCGGCGCTACGGCCGCGAAAGGAGCTCAATCAGATTCCTCTGAAAGCTCGAAAACTTCGGACCGCTCCCGAGTTTCCAACTCCTTGGCCCACCGCACAACAGCAGAGGGGTCCTGGAAACCGTGGAGGGTCGCAACTTCAGAATCGATCAGCCGAGGGAGCGACAATCCGTAGACCGACGACGACGACGCCGACGACGACGGCGACGGATCGGCACGCTCCCCCAGCCCGGCCTTGCTGCCGTCCGAGACGGCAGCAGCGCAGCCCTGCAGCGTCGGCGGCCTGGAGGCCCAAGCCTCTGCCTGCCGCGCCGGCGGGCCTGCCGCCGCGGAGGTCCTGGCCTGGACGTGACCAGGAAAGAGACCTCTCCGAAGCCTGGACCTTTGATCGGGAGCGGAAAAGAGGGGGGTGATGACTAGGGGGGGGTGGATATCATGGTGGGGGCCATGATATCTCCCCAGATCTCATGGCGCCTCTTCTTATTTCACTACGTCCCTGGCCCCCCCGCTGGGCCGCGCACATGCCGCCGGTCATGATTTGCACTCCCCCCTCTTGGACGCCCCCCTCTTTGCCGCTCCCGACCTTTGAGTCCTGAGCCCAGGAGAGCGAGAGCCAAGGCAAGAGGAGTCAAGACCCTCCCCACGACGGACCTGCCCAAAGGCCGAGGCTCCACACCGCTTGCAAAACAGCACAAGGTCCCCGTCCTGAACAGAATAGCCGCCCTCGATGCTGACAAGGTCTGCCGCCACAACGCTGTGGCCGTTGAAATGCCAGGGGAGCCCAGAAGAAGAAACTAAATCCACGCCCTCCGGAGGAGGGGGAGGAGGGGGAGGAGGGGGAGGAGGAACAGCACCAGCAGCTCCCCCACTCAGGGTCACACCCTGGACCCTCTCGTAAGGGCGACACCCCTCCTCAGCACAAGCCTCCTCCAGAAGGGCCCAGACTTCAGGAACTTCCTCCAGCAGCACGACCGAGGTCCCAGCAATCCCCTCAGAGTCAGAAAACCCGGAATCACCGAACACCTGCTGGGCCCTCGCATGCCACCGGATCGCCTCAGTCGCGAGGCGCTCACAGCCTTGCACAAAATGCACCTGCGGGGGGGGCGTGTTCCACAAGCGGGCGCCCAATTTGGCGAAGTGATCCGCGTGCCTGTTGCCGCGGATCATCCACTCCTCATGTTCAGACCTCGCATTTTGGAGCCCGACGTGAGCCTTCACCTTGAACACCTGCGCCTGGGAACCAACACCGCTCCACCAGCCGTGCCAAAAGTGCTGCCGAGGGTTGAGCGCCGCCAACGCCACCCCGGGATCTCTCGCACATCCGAGGGTGGCGGCGCAATCACAATACACACAGAGAGGATTCTCCGGAATCCATTCACAATTGGCTGCCAGGACCATGAAAGCCATGTCCTCGCCATCTCGAGACAGTTGAAGTGGGGCGAGATGCAACGGCACAATGCCATAACAGGCACCAAATACATTCGAGGCAGCATCTGTCTGGACGATCGAGAACCCAGCGCGACTGATACCTGACAGGGTGGTGTGAAACGCGCTGCCATCAACGAAGACCGAGCCTGAGAACTTCCACCCGGCTGGGACACCGTGCCACCAAACCTTCACCTCGGGCTCAGCCCGGGGGAAGGCCCAGCGCGGGGAAGGGAAGAGGCAGCGGCAGAACAACTCCCCGTGCACTTCGTTCTTCTCATGCACACGCTTCGCCGCCTGTGCGAGGAATTCAGGGCACTCCTCACGACGAATGTGCTGCAGACAGGGGCACTCATAGAACCTGTGATACAAGGTCCCTCGAGCGCCGCATAAAAGACAGCGGTCATGCAGACTCCTGCCGTGGCTGTGCAGCCTGGCCTGAGGCCAGTGACTACCACCTCCGAGGCTGCGAACGACGGCCTTGTGGTGCTGATTCCAAGTCTCACTAGTCGCTTTGCCGAGCATCAACGCGACCGGGCCCCAGTGCAACTGGCTGACCCAGGCGCCTGGTATGCGCCTGAGCGCACATATATCAGAGGCTGCAAGAGCAGACTCACGAATTTGCTCACAGATGAAGCCGGCGCTGCGGTCAAGCGCCGAAAACACCGTGCCAAAATCCGAAACTCAAACGCCGATGGCATAGTAACCCCGACACGTGCCATGGCCAGCAGAGTCGCTTGCGCGGGGTCCACGCACTGGGCCCAGGGCCGCGCTCGAGAGAGGAGCTCAACGCCCTCGCCCCAGACGGCTCTCAAAGGCCATCTCTCGGGGAGGTCCGAGACGGCCGCCAGAGCCCAGTGCTTCGCGACTTCGACGGCGTGGACGACCCAAGGATCTCGGAAGGCCCCGCGCGGCGTCGCTCTGAGGCGCAAGCCAACTGACGTGCCGAAGGGCAAGCGGCCTTCCGCTCTGAGCGCGGCGACGCGCAAAGAATGAAGCTTCAGATCAGCGATCCCCGTCACCGCCGACCCCCACACCGCCGTCGCCGTCGGAGACCCCCTCATTATCGTGCTAACCTGAGCGCCCGCGTGGCGCAATTGATGCACTTTGGCAATCACGCGCTGGGCCTTCTCAAATCGTTTGTTCTGCTCGCCAACTCTCATGGAGGCGCCGTCGTTGGCGTCCGCCCCAAGACACCGAGCTCCAGTCACCCTGTCAGCCTCAGACAGAGACCAACGCTCGTTCAGGCTGGACGAGAGCACGGACGAACTGGCCATATAACCCGTTTTGTCCCAGTTGACGCGCAACTGTTTCTGCTCCAAACCCCTAACCAGGGACATGAGCGCGTCTGGGAACTGATTGACCACCTGGATGAAAGACCCTACAGCCTGCAACAGGAAATCATCAACCAAATTCTGGAAATGCACAGCCGGGTACTGAGCCTGGAGTTTGACCACCAGGGTGTGCACTAACAACTTAGCTAAAGCTAAAGCTCCGCTGCAGCCAGCCGCAACAGTGCCATTGGCCAGAATCTCTTCGCTGACCGCCTGCTGCCACAGAGCTCTGCGAGGCAAGCGGTACGACACGCACAAACACTGGAGGAGCTTGAGCGGGAACCCTGTCTGCACTGCTTCAGCTAGCAACTCAGCATGATATATATATATATATATATATATAGATATTGGTAATACTTGCTGAGGTCCAACAATCGCGACGCGGACGCGAAGCCTTTTAACTTCGCGAACTTACTTACAATGTTGTGCACATGCCCTGCTCTGTCACAGCTGAGACCCGCATCCCCCCAGAAGGCCCCGTTACCCAAACTCCGCTCCCAACGTCTCGCGACAGGCTGCCGCAGCCGAGACCACACGCGGCACCACAGCGAATGGAGGATGATCGGGCGAACACCTCCTGGGGGGCAGGGTTTGCCCAGGAAGAACGCTGACAGGGTCCAGAGCGTCACGATATCGGGCCGAGCCTCCCAAGACAAGAGGATGTCTAGAAAGGCTTGCCTATAGCTAACAGGGAGCCACAGCATCTGACGAGGGTGAAAGCGATCCCAGCCCAGCCCAGCGGAGGCGCTGTAGCTGGCGAGCACCGCGTCAAGCTCATCAAGTGAAATCGCTGGCAGAGGCGCCCAGGGGTTGAGAGCCGGCCGAACCTTCGCAGCCTGGCCACTCTCATCCTCTCCCGAGCAGTCGCTATCATCACTGACTGCCTGAGTTAGATCCCAGTCTTTGGGATGCTGCTCCGAAGCCCTGGACTCCTGGACCCAGAGCGGCTTCCACACTTCCAAAATCTTCCCGGGGGCCTGAGACCCCGCAACCGGCAGGGGAGCCGCATCGGCCTCGACAGCCGAAAAAACCTGCGACTGCTGAATCGTATCCTGAACAAACCTGAAAGCAGCACTCCCTCCTCGCTCCTTTGCGGCCGACTGCGCCCAGGTCTTCCAGTCCTGCGCGGCCTTGTCACGCGCTTGCTTCTGGAGTCCCTCCAGATGCAGCCTGACAGATCCAAGGAAAGAGTTAACATCTTGAATCTTCTGGGGGTGGCCCGAGGACAGAAGGTCCAGGAGGTCCCGACGGGTGTGAGAAGCCCAGCCCACCAGAGGTCCCTCCGAGGGCCAGGCACCTACATCGATGCTTGCGAACATTTGCCTCTGCCTCCTAAGGGCCGCGAGGTTGGGCTCCCGTCGCTCTCTGGCCGCAGCACCAAGCGAACACAAGCGAAAAGCCGCCGAATAGAATCGCGCCCAGCATCGATACTCGGCCGAGGTCTGCTGTTTGACCGAGCGGCCCCACGCCGTGGCGAAGGTTTCGGAGGCAGCCTGAAACCCATCAGCACGACCCCGCCAACGGGACTGACTCCAACTCTTTCAATCGTGAAACTCCGCCAAGTAAGTTTCCGCATGCTGGAACCACGCAGCACACGCCTCGCCGAGGTCTACCGGGAGCGCCACGCCCATCGTCCACGGCCACTCGGAAGCCGGCGCTTCAGGGGGCGCCGGCCTCACGGGCGGGGGCTTTTCGATCGGAAACTTCAGCGGGAGCTGGGGCCTGCAAATGCGGGCAGCACGTCCGAGGCCCTGCAAGCGCACACGAAGTACAGAGTGCGTCTGGACAGGCGCCGCCTCGAACTGCGACACCTCGGCGACGAACGGCGCCAAGAGCTCACTGCAGACTCCGAAGTCGATCTCCCGCGAGCCGCAGGTCGGCGCATGCGACTGCAGAAGGACCCCCCGCGCCTTCCGGGACCAGACGAGCACGTCGGAGCCGAGCATGTTCCAGTCCCCCAGCAGCAGCCAAGGGCCGTCGAGGCTGCCCACGTTCGCAAGCAGGTTGGCCATCATGTCCAGGTTCTCGCCCGCGAAGCCGATGCTGGTCACGAGGTAAAGCGAAATCACATACAGCGGAACGCCCAAGCCAACGTTGACCAGCAGTGAAGCGACTCGATGCCCTGGCAAAGCCGCGCCTCGGGCATCATGAACTGCCGCAGGGAGTCGGCTGAGGACCGACACGCCGCCACTGGAGTGGAGCGAGCCCTCTCCAGTAGACTGCGCCAGCCCCCACGAGTGCCAAAAGCCACGTTTGGCCACCCACTTGCTGGCAGACTCCAACACCAGCTGACTCTTGATGCGATGCTCCTGCAAGCACACCAACAGAGGCAGCGCAGCCAAGCTGCCGTCCACGAGTCGGTCATGCCGAGCCCACTCCAGCAGCCCTTGCCCCGAGCTCCACGTCGAGACATTCGCACTCCACACGTCCAGGTCCAGCCTGTCGTCGCAGAAGCCCTCGGCTGCAGCGCGCCCGCCACTCCTCGCGGGGGCGGCCGGCAAGCCCCCAGGGGACGGCGGCCCCGACGCCTCGGCAGCAGCCTTCCGGCCACCTAGCTGCGGCGCGAACCCTGGACGCGGCGGCGCCGACCCCCCCGGCGGCGGCCCAGGGCCGCGCCTGGAGGCCACTCCGGAGGCTTCGGCATCGGCCCCAGCGGCCCCAGCAGCGGCCTCGGCAGCAGCCTTCTGGCCGCCGAGCTGCGGGTGTCCGGGAGCCTGCATACCAGGAGCCCCGTCAAAGCCCCGTCTTGGCGCGCTTGACCGCCGCGCTGGAGAGTCCATCGAGGAGCCGCTTGACAGCGTCCTTGTCGTCCAGGGAGATGCCTGCGTCCTGCAAGTGCTGGGCGACGGCAGGGTTGTCGGCGCGGAGCTCCATCTCCATCTCGACGTCGCCTGCGCCTGCTCCGGCAGCGGCGCCGCCAGCACCGCTCCCGTTCCCAGCCACACCAGCGGCAGCAGCATACCCAGCAGCAGCCTGAGGAGGAGGGCCTGCTGCCTTGTCGATCGCTGTCCGCGCGGCCGCCATCTCACCCGTGACAAGCCCGATGGACGGAGAGAGGTCGAGATTGAACTGCTGGGCTCCGCGCTCCAGCAGCTTGTGGAAGGCCTCCAGCCCCGCGAGGGCAGCCTTGGGGTCGGTCTCGGCCACCTGCTCGGGCAGCTCAGGAAGCACGGCCTTGGCCTGGGCCTCGCGAATGGCGTCATCCAGCTTGAGCAAGTTGACCTTATGCTCGTCCAGCTTGTCACGTTCCGCCTTGGCCGCTGCCACGGCCTCGGCCACCTTGGCCTCAGCCTTTTTGACACGAAGCTCGGCAGCGTCCACCTGCTTGCACTTCTTTGCGCGCCGACCGAGGAGGTCTTGGAGCGACTTGGTGCGCAGGTCGACGGGAGGGGGAGGCCCTGCTGGCTTGGACCCCTTCTCCTCCACGTACTTGATAGCTTCTCCCATATCCTTGCCCGTGGCTTGAGCCACCTCGCGCAGCGCCTCGAGCACAAGCTCGTTGGTCTGCGCGCGGGGGGGCTTGGTTCCACTGGCTCCGGTTTGCTGGCCGAGCCGCGGGGGCCCGTTGGCCCATGCGCCCAGCCTGGCGTCATCCCATGGGACATCTGCTCCGGGGCGGCGAAGCCCGCGAAGGACTTTGCCAGGAGCATCTGACCCGCAGAGGCGACACTTGTTCCTCCACATGAAGTTGCCATAGCCGCAGGCCCGATTGCGGCAGCACCACGTCTTGCCTTGCTGGGTGCCATTGGCCATGACAGTCGTTTGTTGGATGGCTCTGGCCCGCTGCGCCACTTCCAAGTGCGCGGACTCAAAGGTTGCAATCAGCTCGAAACATGGAAATGGCTAGGAGGGGAGGAGGAGGAGGAGGAGGAGGAGGAGGAGGAGGAGGAGGAGGAGGAGGAGGAGGAGGGAGGAGGAGGAGGAGGAGGAGGAGGAGGAGGAGGAGGAGGGAGGAGGAGGAGGAGGAGGAGGAGGAGGAGGAGGAGGAGGAGGAGGAGGAGGAGGAGGAGGAGGAGGAGGAGGAGGAGGAGGAGGAGGAGGAGGAGGAGGAGGAGGAGGAGGAGGAGGCGCTCTGGGCTCCCGGGGGGGGGGGGGGTCTTGTGCGTACATACTTCAGAGCGCCGTGTGCGCACGAGCTTTGGCAACGAACATCTGTTTGCACCATTCCTCTCTTTCCGCATCCGTCTCGGCTCACGCGATGGGCACCAGACCGCGCGGCAAAGCCGTGGCGGCGGCGCAAGGCGGCGGCACGGTGCTCCCTGGGCCCAAGGCCCCCGCCTGGGGCTGCAGCTGCGGCGAGGCCGCCAACTGGGCATCGAGGCTTCACTGCAGGAGCTGCGGGGCCCCCGCGCCCGTCTCCGTGCGGCAGCGGGCCGTGGAGGCGGCGGCAGGCCCGCCCCCGCTTACGGCGCGGCCGCCGTGGGCGGCGGCGCCCAAGGCCAAGGTGGGCGCCAAGGCTGGCGTCAAGGCGGAGGCGGCGGCCGCAGGGGCGCCGTGGGTGCACGGCGGAGGCAAGCCTCGGCGAGTGCGTTTCCGCGAAGCGGAGGTGGTCGAGATCGAAGAGGACGGCGAGGTCGACCAGCTGGCCGCGGCGCTGCGGCTGCTGGAGGGGCGCGGCGTCCAGCTGGACGATGAACGATGAGGCGCAGAGGAAGCTGGGGGTCGCCAAGCAGGAGGCCGACCCAGGCAAGGCAGCCCCAGAGGCTCCCAAGTCGCACCACGCGGCGGTGCAGAGCGCCATGTGGAAGGTCAAGAACGCAGCGGGCAAGCGCGAGCGGGCCCAGCGGAACCTGGAGGCCGCTCAGGGCGCCCTGGCGGACGCCCAGCTCGCGGCGGACAAGGCTGCGGAGGCCAAGGAGGCCGCGGCCAAGGTCCACGCCCAGGCTCAGGACTTGCTCGATCGCGCCAGGCTGGCCTCCCGCACGAGGCTCAGCTCGACCAGGGGGCGCAGGACGTCGACAGGCTGGCCCAGGCCACCCTCGGCGCGAGGTACGCTGCTGAGCTCAAGGACCACTTCGAGGGCGAGGAGGCGGTCCAGGCCACCCAGGCCATCGAGCTGTTCTCGAAGCTCGCCGCTTCGTGCAAGGCCCGCATCGAGGCAGCCGCCAAGCGTGCGGCGGAGGCCCCACCTCCTAGGGTGCCTCATGCCGCTGCTGCTCCCGCTGAGCGTCCCCCCGACGGCCAGGGCGGGGCGCCCGCAGCTGGAGGGGGCGCAATGCAGGAGGAGGGCGATGGCTTCGCCGCCAGTGTTGAGGCCCTCGACGGAGCCAAGCGAGCCGAGATCGAGCGTTTCCTCGAGTCGCACGGCTGCTCCCTGCCCAAGCGCCTGCGCCTCCCTGGGGGCTCCGCAGCGGGCCAAGGCGCGGCCAGGGCAGCAGAGGACAGCGGGGGCGGTCACTGAGGTGCCAGAGGGCGCGGAGGCGACAGCTGCCGCCCGCAGGGCCCTGGCGCCCCGCGAGGGCTCGCTTTGGAGGCTGGCCTCGGCCAACGCGACCTCCGGGGCGAGCTTGCGACGCTGGCTGCAGGAGGAGGCGCAGGGCGACGTCCTCTTCGCGCAGGAGACGGGCGTGGCGCCAGGGGCGAGGGCGGAGGTAGAGCAATCGTGTGCAGGACCCACCTGGGCATGGGCATGCCACCTGCGGGGCCTGCGTTGCCCCCTGACAGGATGGTGGCCCGATGGGTGAACGCCATCGTCCCATGAGGCTTCCTGGCAGTCTCGGTCTACCTGGTGGCGACCACCAGCGGCCTTGACCCCGAGAGCTAGGTGTTGCTCGCGCAGTTGGGCCAGTATCTCATGGCGGCGCAGGCCCCGTGTGTCATCGGCGGCGACTGGAACTGCGCACCGTGAGAGCTCGAGAGATGGGGCTGGCCCAATCGCGTCGCGGGTTTCGTGGCGAACTCGGGGCAGGCCACTTGCAGGGTTGGAGGAGGCACCGGGATCGACTTCTTCGTGATCTCCTGCAACATGGGCGCGGCGGTGAAGAGCGTCTCGCGCCTGGACGCGGCGCTGAGCCCACGCTACCCTGTGCAGCTGACGCTGGGCGGCGAGAAGGAGCCTGAGAGGGCGCTGTGGCATAGAGCGCCAAGGCCGTTCCCCACGGAGCGGCCGGCGGGGCCGAGGCGTGAACCGCCGCGCTGGACGAGCTTGCTCTCGGACCTGGCGGACGGCATCGCGGCGGCCGCACCCTGCAGCGCCGCGGGCAGCCTGGGCCCTTGCGTGGGCGGAGGGGCGGACGGTGCCGCCGATGAAGGAGCCGCGGTCGGGGGAGAGGCCTTCGGCCAGGGAGGTGGCGAGAGGCGCGATCCAGGGGGGCCAGTCCCGTTGGGGGCGGTCCCCCAGGATCCATGTCCTGGGACAAGCAGTTGGGGGCAGCCTGCGGTAAATTGCCCTGCGGTGGATGCGAGCTCCGACGGCCCTGGGACAGTGCCGAGCGTGCTGGGGCCGCTTTTGCTGCTGCCACCGTCGGCTTCGGCCGAGGCGCTTCGAGGTGTCCGCGCGGGCTGCGACGAGGACTGGGCGGGGGTCGTCCACTCCCTGCAGGGCGACGTGCTGGACACGCCCCCGCACGCCACCACGGAGAACGTGCCCCTGCCTGTAAGACAGGCTGGCGGCGCGGGCCAGCGGCTGACTGGCGGGGTGGCCGCGAGAGTGACTGAGCCGCGCGGCCAAGCCGTGGCGGGGGTGCAGAGCGCGGCCGAGGTCGAGGGCCTGACTGAGCCGCGCGGCCAAGCCGTGGCGGGGGAGCAGAGCGCGGCCGAGGTCGAGAGCCTGGGCTCTGGAGTGGAGCTCGATGGCGATTTGGGGTCAGACGAGGCAAGGCAATCCCAGTCGTTGGGAGCTGGTGCGGGCCCACAGGCCGTAGGCGGCAGGCCTAGGACGCTGGGCAAGCTCTACGGCAGCTTTGCGGCGCTGCTCGAGGAGGACCTGGGCGGCCTTTTCGACATGGAGCAGGAGGATTTGATGAGGCGCAAGGGGCGCGGCGAGCCAGCGCGTTTTCAGGAGAGCACCACGAGCGCCAGCTGCAGAGGGGCTCGCGCCCGTGGCTCGGCGCAGGCGCGCGCCTGGCACAGGATCGCGGTGCTGCGTTGGGAGGCGCTGGCCAGCAGGCGCAGCCTGTGGGCGCCTCGCCGCGTCGCGAGGGAGCTGGCCGTGCTCGGCAGGCTGGCCGAGCTCGGCAGGCTGGCCGCGACATCGGCCTGGACGGGGCCCAGAAGCTAAGCAGGCAGAGGGGATTGGCAGGCCAGTTGCGAGCGACGGGCGCCATGACCTACGGCCAGCTGAGCTCCTTGGAGGCCTACGCCAGGCAGGCAGCGTTCGACTTGAGAGGCGCCAAGGGCCGCACCAAGGCCTGGAAGAACTGGGCTCAGGAGGCGGTGCGCGGGGGCGCAGGGGCCGCCCGCGGCTTCTGCGGACGTGGAAACCAGCGGGCGGCCTGCAGGCATCGCAGGCACCCTGGAGGCGCTGAAAACGGAGTACCAGCAAGTGTGGCGGCACCAGGAGGAGAGCTTCGACTTGGAGGCGATGCTCCCCGACGAGCTCCTGGACGAAGCCCCAGGCCCGCCCGCGCCCGACGCCATCCGAGCGGCGGCGAGATCGTTCAAGGCCGCGACGGCGACGGGCGTGGACAGTCTCAAGCCGCGCCACTTCGGCTGGCTCTCCGACCACGGCATCCTCGCGCTGAGTTTGCTTCTCCACCTCATCGAGCTGCGGACGGACTTCCGGTCGCAGGTGGCCGAGGTCTTCATTTTCTTCCTGGCCGAGACGGATGGGGGCTGGCGGCCCATCGGCCTGATCGCGCCCCTAGTTCGACTTCTGGGCAAGATCAGGCACGACGAGGCGAAGAGCTGGGAGGCCGCCAAGGACAGGCCCTACTTCTTCGGCGGGACGGGCAGGTCCTGCGAGGACGCGGTGTGGCTGCAGAGCTTCGACGCGGACCATGCGAAGGCGGTGAACTTAGAGGCCGCTTCCGCGCTGCTGGACCTCAGCAAGGCCTACGAGAGGGTCACTCACAGAGGGTTGGTCCACGCCGCCGCGAGGGAGGGCTTCCCGCTGCGGAGGATCAAGATCCTCCTCCGCCTCTGACTATGCTTGGACCGCTGGAAGACGGAGGCTTTCCAGGTGGTCCTGTCTTTGCTGGCAGGCTGCTCTTTCGCCGCGACGCTGCTTCGAGTGGTGTTGGCCGAGCCGTTGGACGCGATGCTCGCGTCCTGGCTGATGGTTCGCCCATACCTGGTGGTCGACGACGTCGCGCTGGCGGGCTACGCCAAGCGCGCGCAGCTGGAGCATATCTTGTTCGGGGCCACCCGCGCCCTGTGTTTGGCCCTGGAGGTCATCGGCTTCACCATCTCCTTGACGAAGGGCCAAGTCCTGTGCACCGACTCCGGGATCGCCAGGCGGGCTGTCCACAGGCTCAGGCGTTGGAGGTTCGCGTCTGTGAAGGCCACGAAGAACTTGGGGGTGGATTTCACCCTGGCGAGGTCGGCTTCATGGAAGGTGCTACGCCAGAGGATCAGCCGCCTGGGCCAGAGGGCGGGGCGGTGCATGGCCCTGCGCAAGGCGGGGGCCAAGCGGCTCTCCAAGGTCTTCAGGACAGGCGGGTTGGCGTCCATACTCCATGGAGCGAGGGTCAGCGGTGCGCCCACGAAGACCCTGCAGCGCGCCCGCGCGGTCAACGGCAGGGCCATCTCGGGCGAGATCGGCCAGAAGTCCAGGGCCGTGCTTTTCGCCCTGCAGGAGGGCAAAGACTGGAAGCACGACCCAGCCTACGCGGCGCACGCCCTCCCGCTGAGGGCGTGGGCTCGAGCAGTCTTTCTGCGTGTGCGCCCCCCCGCGGTCTTCGAGCAGGTGCTGAGGCGCAGACCAGGAGACTGGGGTGAGGTCACTGGGTCAGCGGGGGCTGTCTGCCTCTCGCTGGAGCGCATCGGTTGGGGGCTGCTGGACTGGTGTCGCTGGAGGGGCGACCGAGGGCAGATTCTTGATCTGCAGCTGCTCAGCCCGCGGATGGTGGCCAGCCTCGTCGAGAGGGGGGCCCATCGCTACCTCGCGCTGAAGATCGCGAGCCACGTCGCCTTCGAGCACCCCCAGGGCCGTCCGCCCGACCTGGGGCCTTTCAGGAAGGCCCTGGCGGGCTTGCGGCGCACGGGTAAGTCGCAGGAGGCCGCGCTGTTGGAGGCGCACATGGCAGGCGGGCTCGTCACGCAGTCCGACCTGTACTACGAGAGGGTGGAGCTCAGCCCGCTGTGCCAGTGGTGCGGAGAAGCACCAGGCACGGCACATCACAGGCTCTTCGCGTGCCCCGCCATCGCCTGCTGGGCGCGCGACCTGGGCTTTCAGGAGGTCGCCGACTCTGGCAGAAGGGCGCCGCAGGACGACCTGGGCCTGGTGAGGGGCCTCCTCAACCTTGGGCTGGACCAAGCCCCGCCCCCTGGAGCGGACGAGCTCTGCCACCGTGCAGGTTGCGCGCGGCGGGGCTACCTTGGCGGCGTTATCTGCATCGACGGGCCCGCGCTGTGCCCCGAGATCCCGAGCCTGACGCGCGCGGGCTGGGCGGCAGTGGTGGTTGGCGATGTTGGGGGCGTTCGGGGCGGCCTCTACGGGCTCGCGCCAGGCTGGGTCCAAGAGATCGGCTACGCGGAGCTCTACGCGCTGCGTCGGCCGCTGGAGGAGGTCGGCCCATCGCCCATCACGGTCTACACCGACTGCAAGGGGACCAAGGACGACTTCGAGGCGGACTGCGACTACTGCTGCGGGCCAGGTCACAAAGTACGCGGACCAGTGGAAGCGGATCTGGGCGCTGCTCGACGACCTGGGCCCTGGTTTCCCCACGCTGAGGCGGCTGCCGTCGCGCGCCTCGCGGGCCAGGGCCAGCGCTGCAGGGGCGCCCTGGCAAGCCTTCGCGGGCAACAAGGAGGCCGACGAGAGGGCGAAGGACGGCGCGAGGCTCCACCCCCAGCAGGAGCGGCTTCTAGAGCTGAGCCGCCGCTTCGGCGCCGCCGTTTTGCAGGCCGAGGCCTGGTGCGGCCACCACGGGGGGATCCTGAAAAGGCTTGCCGACCTCGGGTGGCCCGACCGTGGAGCTCTGCCTGGGCCCAGGAGTTCGGACCTTGAGACCCTGGCCCTGG